TTGTTTATATATATATATATGATGTGATGTCATCATGACCTTATTTGACATGTCATTTTTTCTTTAGCTTAATTTTTAATCTGTTGTTAATCTCCAATACAATTTGTCATATTCATATAATATTCTGTTTGTTTTCTTGATAAACGTTTAATCATTCATTTGTTTTGTGTGTGTATTTAGTCAAAACACAACGGTTGCTGGTAGTGTCCATACTATACCAGCTTCAATGGCACAAGAACAAGTTGAAAAAGAAACTGTAAGTTGAAGTACTGTACATACAATTCATGTAAAAACACCAATAGTAAACAAGATATGTTTAAGAATTGTGTTTTATTATAATATTACCCTTTTCAAACCTCTGTTAAAATATTGCTGTATTTTTAAGTGATTAGTAGGTATTAATTTAATTTAAGTGGCAGACTCCCCGATGTTTGATGCAAAATTGAAATAAAATAAAATAAAAATAAATGAATAAGTTACCTACCTGAGTTTGCCATAGGTCCAAACTTAATAATTCTACTTACTGATGCCAATCGTGTCACTGTTCGTGGGCATGTTATGAAGTAAGTCTGCCTCAGAAAGTAGAAGTAATTATACATTTTGTAACTTAAACTTAGTGGTGAGTCGTTAACCTCATTTTCAAATCAATGTAAATTTTACTATCTCCAAGCAGGCACTATATGGATATAGGGCCTGTTATTTTTTGTCTCAAGTGCAAAAATTTCAACATTCATGGTTGTAGCTGAAGAAAACTAAGTGTGGGTGATAGACATTTTTAGACAACATTAGTAAGCTCTAAATAATAAGAGTAGACTTTATGGATGGAAAATTGAGTTAATACTTAAGGCTGGGTGACCCCCACCCACCATAACTGCATCCCTGAAAATTGTGATGAATATGTTGTTGCTAGTCCAAGCTCTGTATGCGTACGCGCACTACGAACCTGACAAATCGTGGTATACGGTATTGGTGAACACGAATGAAGTTTGTGGGCATACACTACCTAGGCAAGGCCTAGAAAGGCATATGGTTTTGAGATAAAGATGATTGAGTTATAAATCAATTGAAGAGACATGGCAATTCTGAAATAATCCATAATGTTTACACTACATTATAATCAATTTAACAAACAAGGTTATGCCTAACTAATATAATTATAAACACCACTTCATCAACCATAATGCATATGCAGTTAATGTGTTGTTCATATCACTCAGTGATTAGTCACCACTTCAAACAGCAGTTTGATTAAAATATGTACATATAAAACAAAGTAATTGACTGAGTTATTTCAGACCCTATATAAAATATAAGGCTCAGATGTTATTATTCTGTTAAAAAATTGCCTTCAGCCCTGCAGGCTTCTGGCTTTTATTTTCTATAGTCCTCAGACCTTGACTCTAATTACTTGGTAGTAGTAATCTTCAGTGAAAGCTGCTAAAAGTAATTGCATTCAAAAATGCTGAGAGGAGAAATACATTAATTTTACCGTAAATGCTCGAATAAATACCGCACCAAACATAATTTTTTTTGTCAAGCGCCACTCTCGAATAAGCGCTACGGTGCTTAATCGAGAGTATATAATACAGTATTCTGTGTGTAATAAAACACTTATGAGAAACAGGGTCTTAAATACAGTGTATGAAGTGTTAACATGAATAGATAACACAATGAAAACACAAGTATTTCTTTATAAACATTTAGTTACGATACATGGACCTGTGATAGGCCTACTGAACTACGGGAATATGCGTGAAACAGGTAACATGGGAATAGACATAGAAAGCGTGACAGCAATATTTTTATAAGCACCGCTCTTGAATAAGCGCCGCACTGAACCCTCCAAAAATTGTATAAGCGCCCCAGCGCTTATTTGAGCATTTACGGTACTCTCAGAGAAAGGTTCTGTTCTTATCGTGGTTACTTTTCAGGCTAATTTCATTAATAACAGGTGGATGGAATTTGCATTTGGAACCAAAGATAATCCAGTTATATTTATATATACATATTTATTCATTTTTTCAGAACAAGTTTCAAGCTGTGTCTGAAGATGTAGCAGCTGATAGTAAGTTTAAAATCAGTTACCGTATTTGTTTGAATAAACACCCTGCTTTGAATACATGCCCCCTAAAATAATCACCAATTAGAGCCTCATTTTGAATAAACACCTCCCTCGAATAAACACTTCAAGGCATGTATTTTTTCTGCAAATAAACACCCACAACACACCCCACCCCACTCCCCCCCGCAAATGATTAAACAAATCTAATTTATGATCACGTCATAGCACATTTTCATATTAATAATATTTTGTAGTCCCACATTTACATTTACAGTGAAATTAAGGGGCGTTTATTTGAGCATATGTATCCATTTTACACCAAAAAGATAAAATAAATGATTCCCTCTAATAAACACTACTTTAAAAACTCTTCTCTGCAATATTTGAATAAATACGGTAGTTCTAATTTACAGTATATGTAATCAGGGATTCATTTAGAGAAATATATTGAGAAGGGACAGATGGTGGTTGTCTTGTTATAAATAAATTTTGCCCTTGTGTGGTATTTCAAACAAGATATAATAATTGTCCCGCCTGACATATATCATTAAATGTTATTGTCATTATTTTTCTTTTTTTTCCCCCACAGTTGATAAATGGCATTTTGTTAAAGATTCAGCAGAATAAACGATGGAAAGGCCAAAGATGTCATGTACTGTAAATCTTACAATCAAGAAGTCAAAATTCAACAACCAATTTAATAGATGTTTTTATGATTTTCAAATTTTTATTAATAATTTATCATTCTTTTGTTTTTTCATTAAATTATACATTTTCAATTTTTTTCAAAGTAACAGCTTCGGCCTATGAATACACCTGGCAATAAATGTCATCCTATTAGAATAGCTTTTTGAAGATGTTATGATAAATTATTAAATTACACTGAAATAAAATAATAAAGATACTAAAAATACCCTACCTGACGTGTGTTATAGTACTAAATGCTCAGTATGTTCCAAAATAATTGCCAAAAAAAAACAAAAAAAAAAAACATATTCAGTACTACAACACATCAGGTGGGGGAAACATTGATTCGTAATACTAAAACTACTAATTTATGACAACCTAATTTCTGTACAACCTTGAAGAATTAATGTGCTTTGAAATAACACTTGATTATTACTGTTGATTTCGTCATATTTTCGAAACTTTAAACAACATGCTGTTTTCACAAAACGTAAAACCTTGAATTGAAGCCATGGGCTTCTTCTTTTGTTTTTTTGCAAACTTAGGATAGGCTTCTATTTAAATGAAAATTTTGGGAATTACTACTATAAAAACAATATAGGGCCACTGTAAAATCAATCTGTATCATGGAGTGTATTACCCGACATAAAATCACCTAAACCTACTGTATAAAGCAAGCATGTTTTTAATTTATTTTGTTTCTTTAAAATTAATGTATAGTACAGTGTACTATTAAAAAAAAAAAAAACAAGCCCATGCTATCTTGAAAAAAAGATGAATGGGCTTATGAGATTAAGCACATTTGGCTTTTATTCGAGGTTTTATGGTAGTAGTCCCATTAAACGGGGCTCTCATTTTTCGCAAGTTGTTATATAGTAGTTGTAAAATTATTGCAAGTTTATACTTAAATATATTTTTGGCATGTTATACCGTAAATCATGATGTTTCTACAATTTTCTGTAGAGGTTTGTGCTTAGCTGCAAGAAATTTTCCCTATGTACTGTATTATTATGTGCAAGGGAAAAATATATTAAATTATGGACTTTGAAAGAATAATATTTTTCTGGATCGTCGACATGCCATTCTTTTTTGATTAAAATGAACATAATTATCATTGACATTGTTTTAGTTTTAGTTCTGCGTTGTAGTTTGCAGCCTACTGAGGTACCTAATAATAATCAAAGCTTATGTTGCGCATAATGTCAAGGTCTCCTATGCGTCACAGTAGCAGACAATATTTTGGTTTTTTCACTAATCTCAATTCCTTACCGTTTGTTGCCGACATTCCACAAACGATGCGTTAGTAGGACAACACTTGGTCACATGTGGCTGCGGTATAAAACGTGTGCGTGTGGGACAAGTGTGCATTCCTCGCCCTGTTCTCATTGGTCAATACTTAATGTTTGATACTTCGGAAAGACCCATAACCCTGTAGTTGCGCCACCCCATTCGCTTTGCCAGTCACCCCACTCCCACTGGAAATACTTGAAGCAAAAAAATTTGCTTAAGTAGTTTAAAACATTTTAAAATATCAAAGAAAAGGTCAATAGACGACGAACAAATTTTTTGTAACTGACTCCACAATACAGGACATACAACAGATTACAAGTATGGCAATGAATGGACAAGGGAAGGAAGAAAAACAGACAAGGTGGACGGGGCGGTGGAGGGGACAACGACAAATAGAATAAACAAAACGATTCCATTTCTCAAAAATTGTCTTCTACAACGAATCAATGAGCATTTTTAGGTAGAAGCTGTAATCCAGTTGATTTATGGTATTTTGGCCTTGCTTATTACGAATCTGGTGGATCCAAAGCCAAATTCTTTATAGGGCCTGTTTATAGGGCTAAACACAATTTTTGTAATTTTAGGCCATAAAATATTTTAATGCACCTAACACTGGCAAATGAACTAAAGTGCGTTAAATAAATCACCAACAAATAAATACATATTTAAATTTCTTATAATTTATGCACTGTATATATTTAATTTTACTTTAAAAAGTTGGTTTTGCTAAAATTTTGAAGAAATCAGAAGAACTCGGTAGTCTGTTAGTATATGCGCAGGAGATTCGAATTTAGTGTCAAACTGCTTAGAATACATTAGGAAACCTTTTTTTTTTTTAACTCAAGCTATTGTGTAATATACACAATGAATAATAGTAAATCAAATGATTTTTTTTTTACGTTATTTACAATAGGCTATTATTTATTATTATTATTTATTATTATTTTTCCAGTGCCGAATCCTTCTTGGCCGAAACAATTTATTACATATCTATCTAAAATACACTACTAAAATAATTGCCTAATTAAGCTTAAAACATACTATTAAATGGCTGTTAATACTAAGTTTTACTTCACACAAAAGAATAGGAATATGCAAATTGCAAAATAAGGAAGTCTTGGGCCGTAGAGGGCCAAGCCTTCTAGTAGGGGCGAATCTCTCAGAAGCTCTGGTGTCTATAGCAGCCGCAGCCTTTTATAAGATATCATGCATGGCGAGATTGCGTCAACGTAACATCGGAGTTGCGGTAATAAATATACCTATCCGTGTCAAAGGCTGTATAATCATTGTTTAATAACGCCTATATAAAATTCAGTTGACTGTAACTATAATTTTTTGAAATTAGGAAAAACAGGAATGTATGTATATACGGGTCTTAATAATAGGCCTATAGAAAAGGAATAACATCGTTACAATAGAAATTGTGCACCTTCGAGTCTGTAAAAATATTGTCTCTAATAAGTTGGTGTCTTTGTGTAGGTGGGAGGGGTATTACGTTTTCGTTTATGTGTGTTACACATAAACACAGGAAGAGTACATAAATTAGGTATAACCCAATGAAGAAATAATTACATTTTGGTGACTGTCCGGAGTAGGGTGTGGATATGAGGACTATTAAAAGGAAAACGTCCCAGACCAGATACAAGGAGGAAATTATGAAGTGTTGGTGACGATCCAGATTCAGCTGTCATTTGGTCCCAGCTAAATATCTCTAAAATAGATCAATGGATCAAAATGAAACTTACCAGAATAGTACCATTTAAAGAATATGTTTACCGTATACCGTAGGCAGATAACAATAGCTGTATGATGAATATTCAAATTAGTGCAAATACAGTAAATGTGTACAGCGTTTTATATATACTTTCACATATATTTGTGAACTGATTAGGAATATTTTAATGGCGCATCTTTATATGTGACGTTTAAACCAATACCCAATATTTCTCATTAATTTGACTATTTGCATAATATTTTACTTGGCATGTAATTGGCAGGAATACAAAAAGTGAGTGGGCATTTTCAGATTTTGTAATCCAGAAGCTTTGCTAAAATTTCACTTAAACCGCCGGAAACGATTTTTGTTTGTATTCCTGCCAATCATGTTTTTTAAGGATATGTGCAAACGCCATGACGTTACGTGGAATGGTCATGACGTTATGTGGTTTTTTTCATTATGTTATGTGGTTTGGTCATGATGTTATGTGGTTTGGTCATTATTTTATGTGGTTTCTCATGTTATGTGGTTTGGTCATGATGTTATGTAGTCAAGGCGAGCGTCATAAACATAGGCTTCATGGTTGAACAGATCCAAATACCGCCAGATACACTATATAATTGCATATAATACTCTATTAAATAAGGTAGTTGCTAAATACATATAAATATATAAATATACATATAAATATAAATATACATATAAATATGTTGACGTCATGCATAATTGCAGTTGTGCTGCGTCATCATTCCTAATCTTCTTGTTAGCGAAGTGAACCGTGAAGGTATGATCACGGAGAGCAAAATGTAGGGAAAAAAAACAAGTTGTCCTGAAGGAAATTTTATTATACTACTTCGTTTCAATAAAATGTAGAATAGATCAAGGGAATCATCCACCATAAGCGACCAGATATAGGCGTTTTTAAATCTTTATAGAGACCTCGTTTATTTGCTCTATAAATTTATCTATTATTATTATTATTAAGTAGGCCTATAGAACATGATTAAATAAGCCGATTTATTTATAATTTACGTAAATCTGAACTCTATTAAAGTTATTTTAATGTATAGGCCTATTCTACCTAAATATTATGGAAACAGTGCTTCATTTTGTAATGTTTTAATGACTTAGGACGACATTAAATAAATAAAATCGTCTCCATTATTTGATTGTTTGCGTCAGTCGTTTACCGTATTTTATTGAATGTGTACTGGAGCATTGACACATCGGTATTATTCAGAGTGTGAATGCCTGGTCCTAATGCTGTAGCAGCACATTGAATGCATTTCCCCTTTTTAAAAAAATCACGGTGTCCATATCCTGGATCAACCAATGTTTAACATTCTTATCCTGTTCAGTGTCTCCTTCAGTAGGTATTAAATGAGAAATTTCCAATCTGTGTGAAGATGTGTACATAGGTCAATTCTCTTTCAAAATAATATTTATCACAGGGGTATCAAACTAATAATAATATTGCCCGAGTAGTTGTATTGGACTCGGCTTTCATGACATTTATTTCGTATTTTCTCTGCAATTAAATATGGTTGAAAACACACCCTGTATATGCTTAATTAAAGATTAAAATGAACGATCAGCTTATACAGCATTAGTTCTGTATAAGCTGGTCGTTCATTTTAATTAGTCTACTGATAATAATTCTTCTTATTATTTTTAATGCTATTTATAATAAAATACAGAATTGTGAGGCAAGACCAAAAATCAATGAGGGGGAATGAATATAAGCTGGTAAATTATTTATTTAGCCTAACTGAATTAACATAGCATATACCTGATAATTTTATGTACAGTATTAAGAATAAGAAAAAATAAAGCACATATAAGAAGTGAAAAAAAAAACTTTAAACAGAGCTTCTTTATTTTTAAAAACAATTATGAAACATGACCATTTTCAGTTACCAAAATGATTTTCTATTACAAAATGTTGTTAATACTTCTTAGGGAGAAATCAAATGATATCCAAGGTTCCATTTATAATTGGGACCATACATTTAGCCCATATAATGGGTACGGTACCAACTTTTAACAGATGGTGGATTGGACATCCTAGACCCGTTTCGTGCCAACGAAAAAGCCACAACGTCCAAGTTCTGCAAACTCCATCAACTCCATCAACAGGTATAATATTGACACATTAAATGCTGCTGTACTGTCTATAAACAATCAAGATCTATTATTTTTATGTGTATAAGAGACAGTGTGTACATAGGTCAATTCTCTTTC